TACTCCGACGAAGGACTAGCGTCCGAAACGTCAGTAAGTTTTTTCATCTTTTCACGGTGTATAATTTACCTTTTCATCATTACTTTTAATTATGATCTATGAAGGTTGTAGTATACATTGATGCATATATCTAATGAGATGCAATATATCAAATGAGATGCAGAACGTAAAAAAGTAACTGATTTGGTCTTATTTATCTTCTATTATATCAGAGACATAAGTATTGCACAAAGTCAAGTTAAAAACGTATTTTCCACAAAATGTAGTGGCCGAGCGGATATTTTCTATTTTTTCCAAAAAATTAAAAATATTCTTAAAATTAAACTTAATATAATTTCCAAGATATCCAATTAGATCCATATAGGCTATGCAAATATAAAAAGGAATATGGATTTTCAGGTACTGAGTAGTTTCAATAGGATTTCAAAAGGCTTGTTTAAAAAATCCAAGATGGCGGCCTTGTGGTCACGTGACATGGTTTCCATGGTAACAGATATGTGGTAATTGCTTGCCTTGAAGAATTACTACTATACGAGCCAAAATTGGGAAAGATTCATTATAAACTGTCAAAGATATGAATAAATAACTGATTTTCCATCATTTCCTCAAAAGAGCCATGCCTTAATGGTGCTGAGTTTACACCTTTACACCTTTACACCTTTACACCTTTACACCTTTACACCTTTACACCTTTACACATTTACACATTTACACATTTAGACTAAAAGAAATATCACGGGTTTCCTCGAACGTTCTGGCATAAAACAAACGCTGAAATACCATTCTTCATCTTAAATCCTCACTAAATGGTCGGGGTATTCTGGATTTTCGATTCACGAGTTGAATTTTCAATCAATCAATCAATCAATCAATCAATCAATCAATCAATCAATAAACTTTATTTAAAGAGGGTAAACACGTAACAGTACTATAAACTGACAAACCTGTGGCCCTCTACAAAAGAAAAATCAATATCTAACACTCTCTCTCTCACACACACACTCTTACTCTAACTCACTCTTACTTACTCTAACTCACTCTCTATATATTAAATATTTGTTTACATATATGTATATATATATAAAAGTATTCTAAAATGGTAATAGAATCTAAATCTTAGAAATTGAAACCTAATAAAATTGAAACCTAATAAAATGCAAAACCCACACCAATACAAGGCTCAACCTGTGAACAAAGCAATCCGGCGCGATCTGTGACTTTAGCGCCGGATCCCTCCGTCCACAAGCCAAGCTACACACCAGTGTGAGTTTCGCACTTGGTCTATACTAATCGTTAATTAGTTAATTAGAATAATTATGAATGGAAAATTTGGTCTGTTTTCTGTTTCTTTATTTTACATTTAAAGTTCAGGCTGACGCACACGAGGCAAAGAATACATAATGAAACGCGTGATATTTCTTTTAGTCTAAATGTGTAAATGTGTAAATGTCTTTTTTTGGTGGACAACGTTAATGACATTGACTGTATAATATATAATACTTTTTATGTATTTATGTTTAATTTTTTTTACGAATGTGGAAAAGTAAAAGCCTTGCAACCTTGAAACACAAATCTATCCAGGCGCTGTTTTGAAACCTCACTATGGAACCTGTGCTTGGTAGTTCTAAAATATCAAAATAGCTAACTGAACAATTAAAAAAGTTTACAATATTTATGAAATAYGTTCTTACCCTTACTTCTATTATCTTACCTCAGGAGCTACATAACACTATAGCAAAAGATGAAGGTAATATGGTGAAATGTTTTACTAACCAATGACTCAAAACTTTGAATTTTATTTAATTTCGGGTCGGATTTAAATTAAAAAAGTTCATTATTTGAATGTTTTAAACCTCTCGCACAATAGGTTGCTCTATTTATTAAA